AAACATTTTTCTGAGGTGTGTTTAACAACGGGTTCGAAAACTTTGAAAATGTTAACAACGGGTTTGGCCAAACCTGTGCGAACCCGCTGAATATCACCACTGATCTTAACACAAAAAAAGAAAAAAAGTGAACTTTTAAGAAATTTGCAGGATTTCTCGGGATGAGAAGTATTTCCCAGGTTAAAAAACAGTCTGGATCTTGAGATTTCATTTGAGAAACCCTACATATAACTTAATGTTTGAAATTGAGATTTGAGTTTTAAGATCTGTTTTTCAAAATTTTCTTATAATTTATTTATTATTAAATAATATTGATAATCATTTATAAGATTGAGTTTTTTATATTATAAACCTATATTCTCTTAAAATTGAAATACAGAACTAAAATATACATTTTGGATGCATAACATTTTAAAAGTATTTTTCTATAATCTTATATAATAAAACATTTTATTAACATATTTTTTTTATTTAGTTTAATGAATCTCTTTTCCTGGAGTGGACTTGTTGATATGAATTATGTAATTTCTGATCTCTTCAAAGTTCCAAGTATACAGGTATTTTCTTATTTATTTATTCATTTGGAAAAGATAACATTATTTCTATTAGAACAGAATTGTCTTTAACAATTTTTACTCCTTGGACTACAATACAGATAAACATGATTCTATAAGTAGATTAAATACAACAGCCATTCATTTTCATTTCTATTATATTATCAAAATCATCAGATTTTTATATTTTTTAAAATAATAAATAATTTTACATATCAGGTTATTTTATTTTGCATATTGTTAGAGTTGTTTTTACATATAAAGTAATTTTAAACAACTCTAAGACAAATAGGGAAGACCAGTAAAGTCTAGAATAGTTATCTGTAATACAGAATGCATACATTAAACAGTATGTCAGACTTGCAGTGCAATAAGAACATAACAGTGGAATTGGAAATAAGAACAAATGAACCAGGAGATATGACAGAAGCTTTATTGAAAAAACTAGACACAACCAACGAAGACATATATATATTCACACAAATAAGAATAGTTTATCAAACCTAGTCAGGAAATAACATAATGTATTAGTGGAAAATACTAAGCAACATCATAAAAATAATGAGTCTATTAACAGCTACTTTGGATAGAAACAACTGCTAAAAACATTTTTCTGAGTAGATGAAATGTTCAAGAGATTAAAAAACAGTCTGAAAAAGTTTCGTATTTAATCACGACATACAACAGGATTATGCAAGAACAAGTTATAATGTTAAACAATTTCTGATGATAATCTGAAATTAAAACAATAGATAAGTCTAGTTACATATAATAATTTATTTTATATTGAGAAAATAATATAAATGAAATTTTATTTCTAGACTGGTAGGATGGAACGCATAATTTCTGCTCTTTCCAATGAAGAAGAAGAAATGTTTCGAAACATGATGAGAAGAGTACATCACATATTAAGGGTATGTGATATAATAGAAATGTTATCAAAATAATTTGAATAAAACTAAAAAAGTCTCATTATATCTCAACTTTTAAGTTTTGTTAAAATACTATATACTTCCATCCCTGATCTCTGTTTCTGATTGGGCTGACATGAATTGATCAAAAGTCTCAAACTTTGAACCAATTCATGTGAGCCCAATCTGCTCTCTCAATTGGTCTTTCCTGCATAACCCTTTGATCTCTGTCAATACAAAAATAAAAAATTCATGCAAATTGTTATATATTTGGAATTACAGAAAACTAAGAAACAGATGGATTAATAAATGAGAATTAAGCTAATGATGATAAAATGTATCTAATTGATTTGACTTTGACTTGATTATGTTGTATAAACAAAATATTTAAGTGAAAGTAAAAATGTGAAAACTGAGAAAATTTTTATTTTGAATCTTTGAAATGTTTCTATATATACATTTATTTATTTTTTTCAGGTGGCTCGAGAAAGAGATGTTAGAGTCATGATAGATGCAGAACAAACTTATTTTCAACCGGCCATTAGTAGGATAACTATGGAATTAATGAGGAAATATAATAAAGAAAAGGCTTTAGTTTTCAATACTTATCAATGTTATTTAACAGTAAGATTGATTTTAGTTTTTTATAAATAATAATTTAATTATTCAGAAGTAAAAATGGATATATAGAATCTGAGCTTTTTTCAGCCAGAAGTCACCAGTACAGCACACGGCAGATAATGTAAAAAAGTTTTGGTAGTTGCTACATATTCAGTAAAAATAATTCTATATCTTCAGTTATCATATATGCATACAAACAGTAATTAGTTTAGCAATAGAGCATTATATAGAGTAATGCATTCATTTTCTACATCTGTGTATTTTATAATATTTTCTATTTGAAATTCTTTTAAGGGGTATAAGAGTATTTCCAACAAAATCAGACATATGAATAACAATCTTTTATGTATTCTTACAAAACATTGAATGTTATATAGCAACTGATAAATTTTTTGGTGTTTAACAAAATTCTAAATTTATAAAGTAAATTTACTTCACTGATTGCTGTTTTATACTTCTTTTACCATTTTTATATCCTAATAATTATAAATTTCTTGTTATGGAATTTTTCTACTTTACATTAAAAATATAATTGCAATTTTACAAGCAAATTCATAGTAAAGTTGAAATATGAGGCTTTATTTTGAGTGCTTGTAAGGTTTCACAATACTTCACTGATTATTTTCCCTTCACCAAATACTCCATGTTAACAATGTTTCTTCCAACCCAAAAAATTATCATGTTCTTCTGAGTAGGAGGAACAGTTCTGAATGTCCTAACAGTACTGCAGCAACTGTCTCATATTTTCTGGATGAAAATGAATTCATGACTCACCTTCAGTCAGTGGCGTAGCCTAGTGGGGATGGCAGGGGCAGCTTGCTCCGGGCAGCAGACACTTTTAGGGGCAGCAAAATTTCACAATAAATAATAATAATATCTCTAAAAATTTGAACCATTTCATTTCATATTTTTGTTGCACCTATGATTCGGACCGATTGAAACGAGCACGGAATTTTTCATTACTTATTCTGTGACGAAACTGAAATTTAGTCTTTTAAATTGAGATACCTAAATAAGGGGGTGGTGAAATTTTCCTCCGCCCTGGGCGGCTGACACTCGTGCTACGCCACTGCCTTCAGTGATGATTTGCATGAGAAAATTAGCACAAGTACTTGACAAACATTCATTCCTGGCATCTGTCAATTGTCACAAGTATCCATTAGTACAAATTTTAATGTGGCTCATTTTTGTAAATTGTTTCTCAGAAATATAAAGAGATAAAGTAAATTGGACAAAGTCATAATTATTTAAATGATTTTATAGAATGTCAGATATAATTTTAGGAAAATTTTTATAATGTGGATTAGTATAAATTTCATGGAATAGAAATCACAAATACCATGCTGTGCCAAGCTAAAAATAAAAATAACAATGAAAAGCAAATAAATGTATATCTACAAGCTAAAATCTAAATGCAACAACAACAGAAAAATATAAAGACACAAACACACACAAAAACAGAAATAATCAAGTATATTTAAAAATACACCATAAATTGTCATATTGCATAATACAGGAAATCCTTGTTAGTTTGAAATTCAAGGGACAAAATAATCATGATTTCAAATTATCAAGTTTCAAATTATCTGAGATGTACATATTTCTGTACAGTATGTCAAATGCCAGGTAACTGATATAATTTATTATGCAAATGAAATAGGCTACATGTACAGAAAATTATTTTTGCTAGTTACTAATTAATAATAATAATACAGGGTGATGAATGAATGGTGTGGTTTTAAAAATTAATAATAAATCTATTTATTACCTTATATGGGCAAACCTTACAGCACAAGCAGCGGCAACTGTTCAAGTTTTTTATGCGCTACCTGCTCTTCACTTGTCATGCTTACTGCGATGAAGATGAGTCTTCATTGCAGAAGACTCATCTTCTGCAATGAAGCCACTTTCCATGTGAGTGGCGTGGTGAACATGCACAATGTCCATATCTGGGGAAGCAAGAAACTACATATGCTGATAGAGCATCAGCATGACTCTCCAAAAGTGAATGTTTTCTGTGCGGTATCGCACAAGAAAGTGTATGGCCCATTTTTCTTTGAAGAACAGACAGTGACGGGTGACTCATTTCTAGACATATTGGAAACCTGGTTGTTACCCAAGCTGAACACCAATTATGATGACTATATTTTGCAACTGGACAGTGCTCCACCCCATTTTCACAGGAATGTATGTGAGCTTCTTAATCATGTTCTTCACTAACACTGGATTGGATGTGGTGCAACAGCAGACAACAACCTGCTCCCCTGGCCACCCTGTTTGCCAGATTTAACACCCTACGATTTTTTTTTGTTAAAGACCGAGTTTATGTACTGTCAATGCCCGTGTCCCTTGAGGAACTGTGTGATTGGATAAAGCATGCACTGTATACCATCACGGAGGACATGCTACACCACATATGGGAAGAATTTGATTACTGTGTAGATGTATGTCGTGTGACCTTGGGTTCACATATTGAAGAATTGTGATTATTGCATAAAAAACTCGGACAGTTGCCGCTGCTTATGCAGTAAGGTTTGCCCATATAAGGTAGCAAATAGATTTATTATTAATTTTTAAAACCGCGCCATTCATTTATAAACACCCTGTATAAATAAACTGCAGGTGTCTGGTGAAAACCACACAGGTTTCCAGGTAGCAGAATGCCTTGAAATGTAACCTGAATTATTTTTAAAGTGGCCCAAAAAGTAGTAAGTTGCCCTACAAATATCTGAGTCTGCTACTTGCAGCGCAGTCTTGCAATCCCAAAAACCAGTCATATTTTATGAGATAAGAGGAAAAAAGGGCAGTTCATGTGTGACACCCAAAAATGTGTTACTGTAAAAGCAAAGCCATATTGAACAGATTAGAGTTGTTCTTGATACATTGTTCTCTCATGCATATCACAGTTTGGACAGAATTTTCACATTGAATTTCAAAAGTAGCCATATTTTGAACTAACTGAATTCCTTAACATGTAAATCTCTATATCCCTCTGGGACAAAAGTACAGTTACAAACTAATGGAATTTTGAACTATCCAAGTTTGAATTAACAAGGATTTCCTGTACTATGTATTTCAGAATATGTATATAGTGTTATGCAGTAGGAAACTTGAGAAATTCATATTGTTTATTAAATACATAAACAAGAAGTTTTAATATGTCTCAAAGTTTGGCACACTTTCCAGTACAGAATTTTTATTGAGATCATTATTTAATAATGACTTCTGCAAATTATTAGATTGGTGAAAAAGTAATCTTGATTTCTAAAATTCAAATGCTTCAAAATTGTTGGATGATTGCCACTCCTCCTTTATTCCATTTCTTGGGATATTAGCCATAGACTTTCTGTCACTACTTGCTTTAAAATGCCATCTTTAATTAACAATAGTTTGCCATAATATTATTTATCACTTAAATCAAGATTGCAAGAATGAAACTTTCTTAAACCAGAGTTGGTATACTTGTTTGTTACCATATTACTTCCAACCATATCACAAATTTTTCAAACAAGTTGTAGCATTTACATCTCTCTTAAACTTGTAAAGTGTAATCAATCAAACCCACATTTCATTAGAAGCCATGAGTTTTCTTTCATAAAAAGTTGTGTATTGTTGAATCTTACCAGATACCACATTAGGTAGTGAATCATGTAATGACAAGAACCATTATACAAATTTTTAAGAAATAATAATGCTAACCCATAACTTCTAATCCTAATTTTCAAAATGAAATTACTTTCCCACCAATCTAATATTATATATATATATTTGATTAGATCTATTTTAAGTGCATTTTTTAGTTTTGACAAATATTTCATAGAAATTATTTTAAATATTTATTTTGTTAGTAATTTTAATTTCTGTTGAATTAAATTAAAGAATTGTTTGTTTGACTTTGAAAGTATTTAAGTAAGATTAGATGAAAATTTTAGTATAACATACAGACTAAGTATAGTATAAATGTTTATAAATTTATAACTGGTTATTATTGACTTCATTAAAATATTTAGGAGTTTATTTTAAAACTGTGTTATAAAAATTTTATTGTAAATGTTAATTTTAGCAAATTATTCATATTTGCAGGAAGCTTATAACAATGTTGTGTTAGATTTAGAATTAGCAAAAAGACAAAATATATATTTTGGTGCTAAATTAGTTCGTGGAGCTTATATGGAGCAGGTATGATTGGGCTTTACGCAATTTTTTTAAATCATTTTTAATGGAAAAAATATTAAACTTTTTATTAATTATTTAGGAAAGGCTCAGAGCAAAAAAGATTGGTTATGAAGATCCCATTAATCCTACATTTGAAGCTACTACAGAAATGTATCATTCCACTCTTACAGAAATTATGAATCAGATAGTTGAAAGAGGCAAAGTCGATGCTAAAATAGCAATTATGGTAGCTTCTCATAACGAAGATACGATACGATTCACAGTAAATAAGTAGGCACTCTCACAATACTTTGTTTATTTTTATTTTTTTGTTAATAGACAATGATTCTAAATATATAATTTTTCTAGGATGGAAGAAATGGGTATTTTACCAGAACATAAATTAGTTTGTTTTGGGCAGCTTCTTGGAATGTGTGATCAAGTCAGTTTTTTGCTTGGTAAGTACAAATTTTAATAAATTTACATTGAAGATAGTAGGCCTAATTTGTGCTAAAAACATTTGTTACTTTTAATAAAAAACACAATAAAAGCACTTCCAACTTAACTTTTTTCAACACACAAAAGATTGTAAATTGTAAAAACACAACAGTATAAGCTTTTATTCTCACTATTTCATGTACAATGGAATGGTATTTTTAATGCTTGCTTCATTTTATTGTTTTTCACCATTCAGCATGTAGGTATTTATTTTAGTTTCAGCCTATTGGATTTACAAAGCAGTTTTGCATGTAACATTTCGACCTTGACAAATATTTTTACTAAACAACAATCATCATGGGGTTTGTTTGAATCCTGGGCTTTAATTGAAGAAATGCATTACTTAAAATATGCATAAACATTTTAATCACAACTATTAATTATAGTTTTTTTATGTAAATTATCCAATGCTAAATGTAATTTAAAGTAAGTTACTTTCCTTCACATTACAGGTCAGGCTGGATATTCTGTATATAAATATGTTCCTTATGGTCCGGTAGATGAAGTATTGCCCTACCTGTCACGTCGAGCCCTAGAAAATCACGGAATGCTTCAGAAAATGGACAGAGAATGCCAACTTCTGAAAAAAGAATTGATACGTCGCATTCTGACCGGTCAGATATTTCACAAACCAAAAGGAAATTATAAACCTATATAAGATAAGTAATAGGTTTCTTTTAATAAATAAAAGAAGAGAACCATTTGTCGAAGTTTAGTTTTAGCTTTTGGCCGACGTACTGTGATAATAAAGAAATAGGATTTTGCAATACTTACCTTTCAATGTCGGACGCTCTTTACAGAGAATTGCACAAGATTTCCGGAAGATGCAAACTAGCATGGACGAAGATGCATCATCTATTATTTATATAGAATTTTAATAATATTTTCTATGTCAAAGTGTAAGAAAAGCACTAATCTAGACATTCGTGATATATTTCTCTTTAATTGTTACGCAATGGTTGTATTATATCACTCAATCAAATATGTGTCATTTTTCTTGACGTAATCGATTACGTCAATTCCGATATATCTGAAACAACACTTTTGTTTCTTTTGCATCAAAAATAAGAAAAAAGCTTTATTACATTATTTATGACATAATAAAATACTGAATTGGAATACATAAGATATTTCATTGCATCATTGTAGTTAACCACGTATATAAATAACGGTCAGCACTGTTATATCCAATATCAGATTGTACAGTACATAAAATATATGTTATTTTAAAAATACAATATATAAAAACTTAGTATATTAGCATATAAATTAAATATTAATAATAAATTTATGGATTAGATTATACTCACAAACTTAAGTTTATATTTAGAATAAGAGTTTTAGAATAAGAGAAGGGGAAAATTTGAACTTCCAAGAGGCTACATATATATTAAATCCATGTCTTTANTTATTTATTTTGTGAAGTTTATTAGCGTTTAGTTTAAAAAGTTGTTATAAATTTAAATTTTTTAGTGAATTTTATTTTATTTTGCATTAGGGAAAAGAATTTTTATTGTTTATTTTGATTTGGACATTATGCCTATTGCACATTAGACATTAAGCAAATGACACAAAGCAAATTATAAAATTCTACAATGTCCGCAAAAGCTTTTAAAGTAGAGCAAAAGATTTAAATGTATATAAAAAATGTTTTAAACAGGATAATTAAATATAATTTCTGTGATATTGTAATTTAATACCATCTTCAAAAGGTAACATTCCTTATAATAAAAGTTATAACTTTGTTTATAAAAAAAGAAGAGATAGAAGAACTAGTCCTCGAATCATTAGAAAATCATCTAGTCATTCCTTTCTTATCAATAAAGAATAGCTTATTTTGCAACAAAATGTTTTATAATTTCGGTTGTCGTGAAGAAATTTTAAATTTTGACGAAGAAGGCAACTATAAATATATATATGGGCGAACGGTTTATATTGCTGTTTAAATAAATTAATTTAAACTTTAATAATTGTTTATATATATTATCTTGGATCTAGAGAGGAATAGTTTGTCATCCAGTGGATTTTGTTAGACATGGAGAAGCAAAAATGTTTGCTGGAGATTTGTAAAGGCCATCAATTGAAAATATTAGATTGTAACATTCCAGATGTATATTACAGATATGAGATTTTCTTTGTATAATAAATAGATTGTTGTTGCAGTTAAAAAAAAAATGTTATTTCATGTTTTTCTGCAAAAATATGTTAAAAATGCAGAAGATGAAATAAAATTTTCATTTGCAAAATTTAGACTAATTAATTTAACATAAGTTATGTTAATTGATGATAAAAAAAAAATTATTACATTTTTACATTAAAATACAATGAGTTTAATGTAAAAATTCAAAATAAATACCTTAACAAAATATTTTTACTTATTTATTTTTTTAGAAGAAGAAAGAAAAAATATGTTTGATAATATTTTTATTTTTATATTTGTATGATTATTAAAGCCTTACAAAGAGTTATTCAAAATAACATATACAGGAGAGCGTCGATTTTCCGAAAGTCAATCATCTGAAACGTCGATCATCCGAAAGAATTCCAGTTGGCAAATTAAAATTTTCGCCACTGCTGTGGCGCTTCAATCTTTGGCTACGTCTTGGGCTACTCAAATATTTATACAGTAGAGCGTCGATTTTCCGAAAGTCAATTAGGTCTACAAT